AATCTCTACATTCAGAATGCACACTGCAGAGATACTTCTCCTGCCTAATGGTAGATATTTATTTTTTAATACACCAGCTATATATAAAATGCTGAATTTGAGCACCATGGCTAGTTATGACATTAATAACACAAAAAAGATGCTATTTCATTTCTATCTCATTTTACACAACTCTAAGGAACAGCAGATACCTTCTCCAGTGGGCCACAAAGTCTGTGGCCTACCTTTCAAATTTCTGTACTGGCATTTATTGTGATGAGGTTCAAATCCCTTTACAGCTGTGGTCTGAACAACAAAGGGGTACTTAAGGGAATAAGACTACAACTTGCTCTTCTGGGTTACATTAAAACCCATTGATTTCCATCTGTTACTTGAACAAAACAGAGTGCATTTTGATAAAAATAAAATTGCTCATTTTGGAGAATATATGCTAAATATATTTCATGTTTGTGGTCTGCAAATTGGGCAGTTCTGTTCTTCCTAGTTACTTAAATAATACAAGCAAGAGGAAGTAGCTATGCTCAAAATGCATATTTTCACTCTAAGCCCAAACCCCTGTCATTACATCATTAGAAGCACTACACAAAATGCCCCGCCTGCCAGTCCACTTGCCCCCTCATTCAGCAAAGCCCCTGCAATCAAAAGCACCAGTGCACATGCTGTGAGGTCAGGATGTGCCCAAGAACTTTTCTAAACAGACCTCAACAGCTACATCCTTTTACTTTCCAGTTTAGTTTCATTCTCTCATTGTTCTTGCTTTAAAAAGAGGAGAGAGATATCATTGCCACTGTAGAGAGCTGACCAGCCAAACTTCCAGATGTTCTTTTCTTCCCTGTGACTTTGGCAGTAGTCAAACTCCCGGGTTTCTGTCCTTCCCAGCAACACCTGTGACCCCAGTTTAACCATCTGGCCACCGCAGCAGGTGAAGCTTTGAACCACAGGAGCAGAGCACTGGGGTACCCTAGTGGAGATTACCTCCTCTACTAGGATGCACCAGGCTTTGATCAGGAACTTTCTTAGGCTGCTGCAGACAGAAGACACCTGTCACCAACGTTTGACCCTACTCACATGACAATAGAGGGCATTAAAAGATAGCATTAGTAGAACTTCTCTAAGTCTGCATTCAGAGGTGACCTCACCTACACCTCTTCTATTGCTTGCTCCTTTACTCCAGGGCAGGAACACCCAACCTGCCTTGGTGGTGCTCGTCTCACGCTCATGGTCTCTTCAGAACTATACATCAGCTCACGTTTTAGATGATGAATCTTTTCAGTGTTCATTCTAATGGTATCTGAGTCTTCAAAGGCTACTGAAGTGCAAATCAGAGCAGACCGACCAATCCTTGTAGAAAATAAAAGGCAAAGAATAAATTATTGTTAGGATTTGAAGTAGTCTTTGAAAAGCAAATTCAATAGGAACAATGAACTGAGAAGTGCCTGAGTTGTACACTGCCGCTAGACACTGCCCCCTGGAGCCTGCAGAATGGTGAGCCATTTGTCAGTCTACTCAGTGGCCAAGTGCCTTTGACATGCACTGGTGGTGATTTTGCTAATATTACTCCCATGGGCAGAGAAGCAAAGACTAGGGAAAATTAAGGAAAATATTTGTCATTTTACTTTAAAATAAGGCACTGGTTGCTATACAAAGACATCAAATTACAGTTTTATCCCACACAAGCCAAAATCACAGATTGAAATAATTTAATGTTGAGATCATGGCACAAATTTGCAAATTATGGCAAAGCCTTTGTAACAGAATGGTATGGGAACTATGAATACATGTTTTGGGGCAGCTACATGCAGGCAGAAAGTCAGGATGAGCTTTCTAAGGCCAAATAGGGGACATAGTCACAATGAAATTCATGACAACATGGTGGCAAGACTTTCTAACCGGCCTTTTTTTCTAACCCCTTATTTTGTGTTCTATTACTAAAAAAAGAGATTACTAAGTTTGAAAAGTTGGGTATTGAGGAGGGAGGTAATGTCAGCATTTAGGCTGTCTGTTCAACCTTAATTTGGCCCCTTATGAGTATGAATAATGATATTGCCTTTAATTAGATGATCACACAACATTTTTTCCTGTGCCTCATTCGTAACACTTGATGAATGGTGTTCACTGAATGATGAAACTGTATTTTGTTTTTTCCTCATGGTTCAAGGTGTGGCAGCCTTTCTTATTTACTGCACACTGCGCTCTTCTCCGATAACAAAACTAATGATTCCTTCACACAGTTTTCTATGTGGTTTATCATTACAGATATAACATAACAAACACTACTAATTTGATTTTATTGCAGTCCTCAAGGGAAAAGCTAGAGGTTTTTTTCACTCAGCTCATTCATCTAGAACCTATTCTCATTGCTCAGGTTGTCATCAAAGCTTGGCTTCCCTCACACTTCAATGCAGCTTTATTTGCATCAGCTCTGGGGAAGTATTGACAATACATGGGAGGCAAAGTGGCTTCCCCATTCTGTCTGTGTCTTGGGTAGTCAAGGCAAGGAGAGGATCAACAGACCAGGAATGGCAGAAAAAATCCTATTCAGCCACAAATTTAATTATTCCCAAAGATAATAAACACTCTGGAGAATTACCTGTGCACTACAGGGAAATGCAGGCTTATTATTTTTCCAAAAATTTGGACAAATAGATATTCCTCATAAATTCAGAAAAGCTGCAAACATAAATGCTGTCCTCAGACTGAGTTCCACAACAAAACTTACAGAAAAGTTTTCTAGATTTTTTTTCATAGACTTTCACTTGGAAATAAATTACTTGTTCTGACAAAAAGCTTTCCACCAAAAAAATAGTTCCCCCAAGAGAAATACCTTTCAGGGACAATTTCAGCCAAGATGGTTGAAATCTGGCAAGTTTACAAGTGACTTTTATTTTAGTCATCATTCATCCATCATCTTTCTTAAGAATGATGGATTGTGTAATCCTGAAGGGAATGAACCCAGTCTAGAAGAGTGCTCTCTGGGTACACAGGCCCCCAAGTTATTTATAACATGGTTCATACATCAGAGGCTGGATTTAATGCTCTAAAATGTTTTTGACTTTAAGTACGATGATTCAAAGCTCACAGGAGGTGGAGAACTTTTTGAGATGTGAGAAGACAAATGGAGTTCAAACCTTCTTGGAGTACTATAAATTTTCTTAAACCAAATGGAACCCACCACGTTTTGTGTCACATATATTGCCTTTGGCTAACACTGCCAACCCCAGGGGCTTAACTGAGATCTAAGCTTGGTGTCTATTTTCTTCAGGTGCTGAATATTCACAAATTCACAGATAAGAGAGTTGACAACTTTAAGCATGCCTACGCAATACCTCCGAAAGGGAGCCATCTTTCACTTGGACACCTACCTATGGATTTATCTACGCAATCCTGATCTCTGACAATTCTGTCCTCTTTATATTCTTACTCTATTTTCCATATTGCATATAATGACATGGTAGTAGAAGAAAAACCTATCCTGAGCAGATACAAAACTTGCTGAGAAGGAGGAATCTTTCCATCAATGTCAGTTTTTGAGATCTCAGACATTTAGTATTTGGTGGTGCCATATATACAGCAGGTAAGAGAAGAGTGTGCTCTAGTAGAATGGGTACAGCTGTGCGGTATTTTATTATTTTTATTTAACACATTCTTCCCATTAGAACGAGTTCTGGAATTCTGTGAAGGAAAAAATACCCATGAAATAAAATAAAAAAAAAATGGTCTAGACTTAACAGCAGAGTAAAGGTTATACAAATTCTTCATATGACAAAAAGTCAACAGGATTTGTGCTTCAGGCTTCCTGCCCTAAGCCACATTTGCTGCTGTTGGAAAGTACAGCCAGATCCCCCAGAACATTCATTGTCCACCACTACTTTCATGTGCTACCACAGCTTTCAGAAGCAGTGACTTTAAGCAGTTCCTAGCTCACTGAACATGAATGAATCCATGCCTTCTTTCCTTTCTGAGTTTTAAAAGCAAGTAACATAGTGCACATCTAATGAGGAATTCAGGAACAGCCAAACATAATATCCTTAATGCAAGGCCTCATGGCCATGGCCATTTGCTTCCAAATTCTACTGGTTTTGTGTGTCCTGTCCTCTCCCTCTGTAGGATCATTAGAAGAGCTCCTTCTCTATCTGGCCACTTATTTCCACTAAATTTCTAGCAATTTCCTTAGCTTTGAAATCTTTGCAACTCTTGATCAGCAAGTTAAAAATAATCTAGCAGATGGACAGACAAAGCCAATACCATTACTGAGTCTTATTTTTGAAGGAAACAAACCAAAAAGCACATTGTTGAACTTGTGCTGTTTCTTATGATAGTGTGTACATAAATATGTTTAAAAAGTACTGTGGAGGCATGTAATGAGTTGCAGGAGATCAGTTTTCCCCAGAATTATTCCAGAGCAGAAACATTGTTAAGCAGTATTAAAACTGTGCAGAAATCCTGTTACTAAAAACAACACATTAGCACTATACATACTCAAAGAGCTCTGCTTGTGTTAAAATAAATGACTAAATACATTAATGAAAAAATATGTGATATGAATACCAATACTTGGATTGAAAAGCTACTTTTTAATAAATATTCTCTTGCCAAAAATTATTCACTTTATTTTAGTTCTTGACAATTTTTTTCTGCCTACTAGAGTTACTTCTTGATTGTCTAATAATTAAACAGAATCATGTTAAACTTAAACAATCACTAGTATTTTGCAATTGAATTCCTTATACAAACAGGCATATGCTTAACTTCAAACATTTGCTTATGTGCCTTCTTGAAGTAAGACTTAAATGCTTTCCCTTTTAGACACAAACAGCCCAGCCCCCCTAATGAGAACTTACAACTTGAAAATGCAGGATTTGTTATTTTACTATGAAAATAAGAAGGAAAATCCTCATGTAGAAATTACATCATCTACAGTTGACACCAGAAAACCTGAAAATGTATCATTCAAATGCCATCAATCCATCTAAAATTTCAAGAATCAGCATGAAATAACAGAAATGCAAGGATAATTTAATCTTTATTTAGGTCTTAAGATCTTAACACTGCAAGTAAGATTTCACTGGACTGGTAAAATTATTAACATTACAAATTTAAGGCAGCTGTTACATAGTGTTACATAAATATTTCAGTCAGACTGAACTCTTCTTTAGATACATTCATGCAATTAACTTCTACGCTGTAATTTGAAATATATTGGACTGCTTTGTTTCCTTGTATTAGACCTATCTGGTAAAACTTTTTTCAAACAGTACAGAGAATGGACTCATTGTTTTTCTTGGCAGAAGTAAAAAGATCTAATGACTTAATGGTTAAATGACTTATTTGATTCAAGAAATGCATGTTGAGAATGCCTTGGAGATAAATATACATCTTATACGGGTATGTCACATGCAAGCATGGAGAAATTGAAGTTTGAAACATTAACATTATTTAGCTAAAATCATTTTCCCCCCATAGAAAATCCAAAAATATCCTTGCACTGAGAAGTGGGCCCATGAAACGTCATCCTTCCCAAAAGATTCCTCTCCAAGCCAAACTCTGTTGGGATGAGAAATCTTCCATGCAGCCGTAAACAATTCTCTGTGTTGTCTCTTATGGTTCACTCTGACTTCGGCTTTTCTCTTCCTTCTTCAATACCTGAAAATATATGGAGAGCAGCTTCTAAAAATCTCTCAATAAAAACAACCCAGTGAAGGGTTTGCTTAGAGAGGTTCTTCTACTGCATTCATCTTTCTTTTCCCTTTTTCCATGTTGTTTCTCCTGAACTTGCTTGCATGTGTTGCCTCACCTGCTGTGAAGGAAAAGAGCAGCTGCACACCTGATGGCAGTGGTTGTCCAGTAATGAACTGCACAATCCGCCCTCCCTCACTCGCATTTTCAGATCAGCCTGACCCCCTGCTGCACACCCAGCCTTTGATGGCTGCAGGGGTCTGGGAACACTTAGTTCTTTCACCTGCTCTGCTTACCTACTAGCAAACTAAAATAGATGTTACTATAGCTGAATCTAAGCAAACAACTTGGTTTGAAAGAAAATTTTAATAACTGTGTTTCAGAATTCAATAATTGGAAGCCCCTCTCCATTTCAGCATTGGATTTTTAAGTATTTGCAGGTACATCTCCCTTTTTCAAAAGTACAAGAATGAATAAACAATTACTACTGAGAGGGTGCCTTTCTCTTCTTGTAGTGGCCATTTATTTCAGTAATATCAGGAGGGCTGAGTTGAGTGCACAGCTCCTTAAAGAAATTATTCTAACTGCAGGACTCGTCTCTTTTCTATGCTGGGCTGGGCAGCAGACTGTGTTTTTTCTGGCAATGGAAACATTCAGCTATTTCATATGCCTGTTCCTGGACAATGAATTACTACTGGTATCTGACAAAAGTATTGTTCTTCTGACTAAGCCCTCTCTGCCAGACATCTCAAATACAAATATTTTTTTTGGAGGTTTTCAGACCTGCTGCATGCTGGAAAAGAAAGACTTATGATAACCAAAGGCAAAAAAGAAGCAATCCTTGAGAATACTGAGAGGAAAATGCAGTCACAAGTAAGATCACCTGCTAGTGCAATATATGCACAGGCGGTAAGTACACCATAAATCACTTTAAAAACATAGTTAATGAATTCCAATATGGGAAACAATAGGATTCATCTGCAGTTAGAAAGCACAACTGCAGAGCTGCCTTGCTGAAAGGAACAACACCAAGACAAATGGGTCTGCATGTTGCCAGCAGCCCAAGTACAATGGCCCTGGGTGTTGCTGGCACACCGGTGTAATGGGAGAGCCACGGTCAAAAGTTTAACAACCAAAACAAGAGACTGGGACCAAAAGATTACAGACAGTTTACAATGTTGCTCCAGAGCCAATCTTATGTCTTCTGCTTTCTCCTAGAAGGAACTTTTCCAATAATTTTAAAAGCTATTTTATTTGCCTTTTTGAAAGCACCTCTTTCCTTTCTTCTGAAGCACTCTACTGCAGATGCATCAAATAGTTTGGCAGGAATGCAGATATCCTCAAAATTGTGGACAGACGCTGGCTTGTACAAAGGGCAAATTTTTCCTTCCCTACCATGTTTGTGGTTTAACTTGGAAAAACTAACTGCAAATCATTTTGTCAGTAGTGAGGTTCTATTTAATGCATCTCCAGAGACAAATAAAAAACTCCAAACCCAAAACAACCCCTTCTCACCCCAGAAATCTTCTCATGGCAGACTGTTTTGATTTGCAGTCTTACTGCTCAAAAGTACCTTTTAAGTGTACAGTTTTCACATAATATTTTCCCAGGTCTTGCATGGTGACAGACTGGCACAATTTTACATCTCTGCTGCTTGTGGTGTTCCTGCCACACACTTTGGGTTAAGTTTGTGCAAAGTGTTTCAAGCTCAGCAAACCAGCACGTGACTCACAGCATTTTCTGTTTTGCAAGTGCTTAAGCCACAAAGGACTTGGGATCAATATTCCTTATCTATGTGAAGGAAATGATGGAGAGGACAATAATGCCAGGGTAAACTTTGAAAGATGTTGGGAGAATGAGGAAACTAAGTTAGCTCCTCTAGGGTGGCAGGCTGCAAGGAGCAGGGATTTTGTTATGTATACTTTGGAATAGTGCAGGAGATTTTCCACCATCTACTTATTCATGGACTTGTTAAGAATATGTGATTCTTTACCATACTATTATTCTTCATACAGGACTTAGGTCAAGTGAAATTATTCCTTGCAGCTGCCTTTTTTGGAAACATCTTTCCCGAATTAACTTAAAGACGTTAAATAAATGTGAATTTGACATCAAACTGAGGACTGAATACCCATGTTGAACACTATGACCAGTGATTGATGGTTCTAGAGCAAAAACAAAAAGGTATTTTACACCTGGATGCTAATATGGGCAAACAGAAAGTAAAACTGCTTTGAGCTTCTAGCATTGGATTCTACCTAGTATTGAAGGACTTGTTAAAGGGAGTTGTGTGTGCCATTAACTACCATGTGAATTTCTTTCCCTCCAGCTGCGATTTGCCACAGCAGCTATTATGAATGTTTTTCGCTTATTTCATTCAATTTGATAAATGAAGAACATCTTTCATAGATAAAAGGAACCTACTTTTAATCTTGTGTTTCTTATTTTCCCTTTTCCTCTCCTCAGCAATGGGTGGCCTAGGCAGGATAGATGATGTAGAGTCTGCACAGTTAAGTTTACCCTGCACTAAAGTGATCTTTCATTCCTGTTATTTCACTGACAAGAACCTGTTCATTTTCTCTGAGTAAATTTATATGGTGAGAAAATACCTTACACCTGAAAATACTAAAAGACTATATTTTCATTTCTCAGTCTATGCCTACCATTAATGGCATTTGTACAGAATGATACTTTATTCTAGCTGCATTTAATGGGTTCATCAGCTAATAAGTGGGCTGTAAACATCTCAGGTAATTGCCAAGAGCTCTTAAATTAGTACTGTAAGTTATAAAAGAGAATACATATTCATAGCTCATCAGGCTCTCCAGCAGACATTCTGTTCATCCGTCTGTTTTTAAGGGCAGGCAAGCAAGATGTTTCAGTGAAACTTCTGTCATTTTCCTTTGTTTTAGTCAGCTTAAAACATTCTACACTTTTAGAGAAACATACTCAAGTCCTGATGGTGTATTTCATGAGATAATATCCCTAAAACAATACTCACATTTTTGCGTATCCCAGATGTAGTTGTTCAGGACTTCTCCCACCAAGTAGAATACGTTAATTACTACGGTAACGGCGGCAAAAAAGATTATTTTGACACCTGGGCTGAGGTGCTCAAGAAGCGGGTACACCCACACTCCTGTAACATGGTGAATCCAGCACACCCTGAAACAAAACAAAAATAACAAGCACTGACTCTTACAGCCCCGTTTTAAGAAAGTGTCTTGGTCTGTAGGCTTAGCTACTGTAACCCAAAAAGCAATTATTTGAAAGGCCTGCAAGTTGCAGGTGAACTGGAGCATGTGGATGACACCCATCCTGAATAGACATCACAAATGATGAAACTATGACTGATTTCCCACATTCTTACTGATTTGCTTTCAATTTATTATGCGCAGTTGGCCTGTTTTCATTTCTGATGTAGGCAGGTATTTCCTTGCTCACTTCTATTTCTGAGGAAATCCCTGTTTTGTGCCAAAGATGGAAACTGCAGCAGCCTCTCTTCCAAGCAGGTTCTTTATCCTAAAAGCATTCAGGGTTCTACAGCTCTCCTACCATCTCTCACTGCTTTCTGCAGTTCTCCTGTTTTCACTTCATACACATTTGCGTTTTTCTTTTGCTTTTCCTCGCTACACATGGTAATCAGTTTTTGGGTTTGCCAGAAGCATATGTTTTAGATTCTCTTGTAGAGAATAATTTCTTCATCAAGCGTGTTTTAGATTGGCCCTCCTTTCCTTTCAGCTACCTGCTATAATTTGGAATCTAGTAATTTTTCTCTAGGTAAGATAAATATACTTTTTAAAGACCAAACAAAACCACACCTCAAAAGTAGTGCCCAGCCCCACAGCTAATATACGCTAAAGGAAAAGGATTGATGGTGGTTTGCTGGTGACACAGAGATTTTCAGCATTCATACAAAGGACATTATCAGTACACTAACTCAAGAGACAGACTATCAGCTTTACTGCAGTGCAACCTGAAGAAGCACTCCAGGTGTGTGGTTTTGCTGTGTGTGGCTGCACTGGACACCTGTATCCTCTGATGAGATTGCTTTTGTGTTGAGATCTGATGCAGTGAGTGGTAAAGTCAGAGGGAGCAGAGAGAGCCCATACATTCCAGTAGGTGGAAGTTAAGAAAAGCAAATACTGGCAAACAACTGAGCAAACATCTCAGAGGCGAACTGGGTAAAGCGCTCAGTGAAGGCAAGCTGGGGCTTTGCTGGGCTCTCTTCAAGAATGTAAATCTTTTCATTTCTGACCTGAAAATTTGAGTGAAAAGCTCACAGTGAAGCACAGCTAGAGTGACCACAGACTGTTATACATGGGGATTTCCATGGTTTGATTCACTGATGTTTTCATTTGCTTAAGTAAGATTTTTGATCACTAGATCAACAGTCAAAGGCTCCTAAAGGGCAGAGATAGAGAAGTCACAGAAAACTGTAACCATAAAATTCTGTCACACAGGGAGTACAGAATCCCTGTTTAACAATCACCCTGGAAATGTGCATGGTTGTCATAGCTTCTCTCCTCCTTGGAAAAGCTTTTATTACAACCCAACCCTTAACAGTTGGACACTTCACTTGGGAAACTACATGTGTCAGTAAATTAATCTGCATGATCTAAATGCAATTAAACCCCCTCTCTCCAAATCAGTTCACATATGGGAAATTATCTCTGTACTTTACAGTTATTTTCCCCAGTATTCTTCTGTGATAGAATTAACCTGACAAGATAAAATTATCTATGAAAAAATGAAGGGTTCCTGCGTAACCCATGGTAACAGGGGACACCTTGTTCCTTTTGATGAAAGCAAAAGATGAGACAGTTGGGTAGAAGGTAGTGGGATGTCCCCTGCTACCAGGTCCACTTACCAGGGAATGTCTATTATCGCCTAACAATTTTCAGTTTCATTTACTTTTTTCAGTTTTCATTTGCTTTTTTTTCTAATGATCATTCTGTGAAAAACAAACTCCAAGGAAAAAGACTGGAAAAGAGCCAGTCTCTTTCTGCACTTATTCTCTCTGGTGTGATGAAACTTCCCAGGATTATACAGTATCTTTACAGAGGGACTTTTCAAGGGACCTTCAAAACAGCATCTACGTAGCCAGCTTCATGAACCAAGTAGAAGTGGCTTTTACTAGATCACATTTATGCTAGAAAGAGGAAGCATTTTCTAAATCCAACCAATGAGTCAGTGATGAGCTCCTGCATGTCAGCAATACCTGGTTAGTTCAGGCTTTGCAGACAGCTCCCATACTCTGCTCCCTGCTGCCCAGCTCAGGAGCCCACTCCCTGCATGGTGATGCTGCTCGTGCCCTCAGTGTAGCTGTTGTTTGCCTGTCCTCGGAGTGGTCACACTGTCAGAACTGCTTTGAGCACAAGAGGGACTACTCTGGAGACAACAGTCACAAACCCACCTGATCCTTCTAAAAATGAGCCACAGCACGCTGCTGGCTATGCTGGGGTGGAGTAATATTAGCCCTCTCTCACTGAGCAGTGACACACTGACTGCTCCAGCATTGTCTGTACTACAAACGGGAGCAGCAAAGGGACAACTGCTGCCATGGAAACCTCACCTGGTGGCCTTTCTTAGTGGGTTTCTCCTGCTGCAATACAGGCATTCTGGAGGCTGCACTATAAAGGGCTGATCAACCATTCACGTAAAGCTTCCACACCAGAGTGCTGATTGCCAACGCTAATGAATGCCTTCAGTGCTGCCACTCCAGCAGCCTTTACTCCTATCCAACCTCATTATTAGTTAAGCACAAGGAAGCATGCATTAAGATTTACTTAGGAGTGCAAAAACTAGATCAAATTGAAGACTTTGTTATTGAACAGGTGTAAAAAATGTGTTGTCGTTTAGATAGAAATAAACTGAGGAGAAAAAGGAAAAGGAAAAAAAGAGAAGTAAAACTGGACTGGCTACTCTGAGAAGATAAAATTAACCTGGACCTCCCTCTGATTTGGAACAGTAGCAGCTGTACGTAGACATAACTGTGTATTTTCAAAGATGAATGTGTTACAGGTCATGGAGTTCATCCAGCCATTTGTTAGCAACAGTAAAATAAAGAAGGAATGAAAATATTCGCATATTGTATTTAAATTAAAATGTCTGTTAAAAAAAAAGTAGTTGTTTTTAAAAATTTTCAACCAGTTGGTGTAGAAATCAGAAAAAGCTATTTGAAAATGCACAGTATTGCTTGTTTTTAACAAATCTGTCAAAAAATGTGGCTTTGTATCTAGTTTTCACTTCTCCTATACTACAGTAGATGTTTTATATCTCTCCTATCAAAGTAATCAGGAGACAATGAAAACTATTCAGGGAACATCCATTTACATTTATTCTTTGCATACAGATCTTTTGTTAATGAGGAAAACTAAGCACAAAAATTTGTTGGAACCTTGTGGTTTATGTGTACTCTGTCAGTTTAAATGATACAGCTGTTACAACAGCACGTGTAAGACCTTAGGCCTGGCAGAATCAAGCTCAACAAGTGAGTATAATGGCAGATAATAACCATGACACCTCACTGATTTTGTAATGGGAAATGTTGCAGAAGATGGTTGCTCCTTCATGGTGGCTGCTCTCAGTTATCATAGCTCAGCAGTAGCTTGTGGTATGGACTCTCAGAGTCTTCACCCATTTCATGCCCAGCTGGACTCCCTCACATAATCTGTCATCATCAACAACCAGCACTATAAGTTCTGGAAAAAGGGGCTGCTAGATGAGGGGCTATGTAACGTCTCAAGAGCAGCAAATGAAAGGACACAGAATGCATGACATAAAATGGGTGAAGAGCTTCCAATTTTCTTCCTCATGACAGAAGAATTGCCTTAATTCAACTCAGAGACAAGAAATTAAAATCTGATAATGGAAATATCTTTCTGAATGATACCTAATCAATCTCTGGAATGCTCTACCCTGCCTTTCAGTGACAGATCACTGAAATAGAGATATTCAAAGAAGTTTTGAAGTATGAAAGTCTGGAAGCCTATTTAGTCCACTCATCTTCTCTAAGCTCTATCACACATTTCTAGCCAGTTTCTGAAATCAGGAGATTGTACAAGCAATAAGAATGTGCACAATTATGCCTAAATTTAAAAGAGTACAAGGTATATAAACCACCAAGACCAAAGGATCTAAGCACCTACATTTTGACATAAGTTTTGGAAGAAAACTCCCCCTTGAAGGCTGGTTGTTTCATAATGGTCTGCTAAGCTCTCCTGAAGCATCTGACATTAGCTCTACCTGGAGCGTGGGTACGTGACAACTCTCATCTACGAACAGCAGCTCCTTTCTGGTTACTTGCAGCAGCAAATCCTCTCCCAGATCTTCAGTACTCTTCATATTTCCAGTGGCTGGCACAAAGGAAGGCTGAATCCTTGGTTCCAGACAAATCGTAGATGAGTTCCCAGTGGCTACTCTTTAGCAAACAGAACATGGGCATTTTCTACAACTTTATTTCATGATCTTTTCCAGCATCACTCTCTTCCTTTTCCACCAAGAGTGATAACTTTACCCAGAGCAATTAAAATATGGAATGGCTTCCAAACAAGGTGATGGGCTTACAGCAGCTGAGACATTCAAAACAAATAAACAAATAATTTGTGGTTGTAGTGCAGGTCCAATCTTGTGCTTTCAGGGACAGGAGCACAATGACCCACACTAAACTTGTTCTGCTTTTGATTTCTAATACTGGCTGATGTGAGACACATCTTCAAAATTCCCCCTAAAACCACAGGAGAGTTTGTTCTGCATCGAATCAGATTTCTTAAGATCTCAGCTATATTAAAATGTTGGGCTTCTTATATTAACAGCCAGCCAGACCTAATACACCTACACCAGGAATGTACATAGTTTAGGAATTTTAAAGACTAAAAAGAAAATTCAAAAACAGTCATCATTTAGAAAATAACAGCAATCATCCCCTCTTGTTCCATTTTCTTATTGCTGGATTCTTATCCATTCATCTGAGTGGAGAACAATACGTGGGTCACAGGACTGTGCTACTGGTATGGAGTGGCTTATGCAACAAGACCTGAGAACCTGCAGCTGCAAATAATGTCACATGCAGAATGTACTCAGCATGACATGGTGCTGGCATCCTCTGGGAGGAAAAAAGCTTAGCAGAAATTTGTGTTTATGTACAGGTAGCTACAATGACAGAAATTTAGCAGATTCACTGCAAAGCGCTGTCATCTCTGGAAGTCATCTATTTTGATAAATAATTTTTCATTTTAAATATAGTAATGGTTGCTATGCCTTCTTGAGCTATATTTGAAGGAGCTGCACAAGGAAGTGAGAACATATTACCCATGCATGTCATCTGTGATTGTGCTGTTGCTTTGACTGAAACATTTGAGGATGTGGAGGTGGAGGCAAGCCAGAAAGTAACAGTTCAAAATGGCTATGTGAGACCTAACAGGCTGGGGATCCATACAGCCTTCTCTTGCTGAAAGTATTCTGCCCTCCCATCCATCTTCTGGGTCAGGTACAAGGGATGCTAATCTTCCCCTGGCCTATTTCTTCTGCTTCTGTTTCTTCCTACTCTTTCCTCTTTGGGGCCGCTCCAGCTCCAACTCTCTTCTCCTCCTCTGTGTTGTCTCATCTACCATCCACTTCTACATCAGCCTTCCACTCTGCTTTCAAAGCCTGTTTCTCTCTCCCTCTCCCAGCATTCCCCACTTAGTTTCACAATTTCAGCTTTGAAGCCGCCGACCTGTAAGCTGTATGTTTCCTCATCCACTTCTCTTTTAACCCATGATTTTAGTTCATTTCTTTTACTTGCCCCCAGGACATTTAACTTTTTTTTTTTCTCTAACCAGGGACTCGTCTGGTCTTTATAGAACTTTTATCCCCAGTGCTCACTTCCAAAGGCATGCATGATGCCCTTCCTACATACAAACCCTCAGCACAGCTTAGCAAAGACATATCGTGTCTCTCCCGCTCCATTGCCACCACCAACCTCAAAAATCCTTCTGGTTTCTCAATCCTGTCCCTCTTTATCAACATGACTGTCAATTCTCACCAAGCTTCACACTCTAACCCACCACCCCTCTCTTCTGAATGTCAAGGTTTGTCCTAGCAGTCTGTGCCAACATCTGCTCTTTCTGATCTTCCTCTCCTTCTATGGAGAATCCCTAGTGGAAATCCTACAGCAAGCCTGATAGAATCAATCTCAAATTCATTCCAAATCTTCAGTGTACATTCCTTTCTTAAATTTGTTCAAAAAGAATTCATCAAATTACCCTATCTAAATGCTTTCCCTCAACGAATCTAAGGAACTCTCCTAAAGTCACTTCAAGAGAAATTTTATTTTCAAATCAAAGTTTAAAAGCTCTTTAAATAGATTTATAAAAGAATGAAAGAGTGAATCAAGTCCAAGCTTGGCACATGTGGAGGCAGCTCCAAGTGGATTTGAGATAGTTATAAGAGAGCAGATCAAGTCTTTTGCTCCCAAACATGCAGCCCAGCACGACTACAGCAGTGGAGTCAGATTCTTAGGGTCTGTTTTTTTGGCATCCTGAAGTGCTCAAAAGTAGAGGGAAAAGGAAAACCATTTAAAATAAAGGTATTTGTCTCAGTTTATTTTAGGGACATATTAGGCTCTGATATTAGTTACCATGATGTCATTCTTGTTACAAGGAGCAACACATTTTTGGCTCTTTTCTGTTCCTTGACAACTAACTCCATACACTCATTGGCAGAATTTTCTGGTAGTACTGGCAAATGCTCTGGTTTTCTTAGCACTGTCTAGATTTAACAATTCAATACAAACTATGACCTTTTCAAGCCATGCTAAATAAAGCCAATAGGCTTTTCCCATCTTATCCCATGGCCTCGGTCCTGAAAGTCCATGTATGGTCTGCAGCATGCAATGCAAGTCTGCGGATCTTCTGCCTGGGCACTGTTCCTTGTGAGCTCCCTCTCACAGACATTGCATAAGCTAAGTGTGCCCACTCAAAAACTCTTTGACTGAAGGGAGAGAATGCAAAAAAAAAAAAAAAAAAAAAAAGAAAGGATGTTTCTCAGAAAACAAGTCTGAATCATGCTCAGGAGATTTCAAGTTATGTAGCTATGTTCTTCCAATTTCAGTGATGCTATTCAGAATTGTTTGCCAGTTTTCTTATTTACCAATTATACATTAAAAAGCACTTGCTATTCTACCACCTCCTTCATACATGACAGATTCAGTAACATACAAAATAAAACAAGCTTTCCTCTAACTTGGAGTTGAGAAAAGCATTCACAGAATCAAACCTAAACAACATCCTCCTGTATATTCCTTTCCTGTAAAAAGTGCAACACAATACATAAAACATGTAGGATGGTAAGAAAGTTTCAGCTGAGATGGGAAGAGAATTCAAAATTCAAGAACAAAACATAGAGAACATCTGATTAGCAACTGTCTTCACTTTATTCTGAGAGATGCAGTGAAAATACTTCTGCTTAGGGAAAAATGGAATAGGCAAAAGAACAAATTCTCAAGCGGCAGATCTCTAAATTCTAGTTAAAAATACATAAACCACAAACTAAGGCTCAGAACAGGACCCATGGTCAACCCCAGGTACAAAGGAAGTAAGTTCCACCAGACTGTATGGAACTAGGTCATGTGCAGGTATAGTCTCATTTTAATACACTGCGCTAACCTTGAGGGTGCTGCCAACAAGGACAACAAATTTGAATTCAGCAATTCCAAGCCCTCTGAGTGGTTAAGGTCTCTACTGTAATGTGGTCACTTGGCAACAGGAAGACAGTGGACTTGAGCTGTGAAAAGTAGCCATACCCTGAAGAGAGGGATGACTAACTCCTCACTTTTCATACTTTCTGGTAGATTTTTCCAACCTGTGAATACGATATATCATATTGATGTAATGGGACCAAGATTTGGCTTGCAGCCTCAAGCACATCTTGTATAGATTCTTCAATAGCACCTGCAGGCTGAAGATATGCAGAACATTCAAGTGATGGCACAGTGTAGCTTTTGTCTGCCTCCACTAACCTGCAAAGGCCTCCTTCCATAACAGTAGAAGGAGAAATGGGTTGTATGTGCATAATTTAGCAGGATGAACTTTTAAGATTGTCTCATCTCATTTAAAGAGAAATGACAACTTGGAAGAAGGCGAATCAATTGAGAGTAGCCCTATTTGTTTTGAAAATAATACATGTGTAGGCAAAACCAATAAACAGCAAAAGCAAAGGGAGATAACCATAGTCTGTGCCTGGGTAATTATTAATGCAGTAATTATTTAATGCAGAATCTGCTTCTCCTGCTTTACTTGTCTACAATTTTCTTTAACCTTGTAGCTGCAGGATACAGATGCACTGTAGTAGGTAGGATCAAACTACATGAGTATCACACTGATACTGTAACAGATTCTTAAAAGATTTTAAGACGCATCTGGTTTTGTTTCACTTGTAAGACTGGATGGTTTAAATTTTAAATTCTTATTAAATACTATTGCATGTGTCTACTTAGATGATTTTAGGAGTTGCCAGAGATGGTCAAGCCATAGGTACCTGCCAATCTGTCTCCAGGCACCATTAGAGGAAGGTCAAGAACTATCACATTTAAGCATTACTGTATATGGGTAAAGAACATAATTACTTTTTCCTGAGGGAATAATCATAGGCCTTTTCGCATGAGGCGGCCCTTATCTTACAATTACAAATATTATTCTTTTTTAAGAAGGGTATGCATGTTTACAAAAGCAAATGGCAGAATGTATGTGGCTGTTGCCCTGGGACACAACATCCTACTTCAGCTGGATTAATAGCATTGTGTGATTACTGAGTGTGTGTGGATATGTACGAATAATGACCTCTCTTAGCTGGATCAAAGGGACAACTTGCATAGTTGAAGCAGTGTTATAGTACTGCCTTGAGACCATGTTACTCTCACATTAGTTTCATCTCTCTTGGTTGGTGGAAATTTTGGAAAATACCTTCTTAGCTGAGAGAAGGATGTTGTGAAGTAAAAACAAAGAGTATGAACTGGGGGTCATGAAATGCAGAAAGGATAAGGAATAGATGGCATCAAAGGAGAAACAAAGGTTTAGTGAAAAATAAATACTAGGGTGACCAAAGTATATTAACTCTGCCATGCAAGTCAGGTGCTTGATTAGAAACTGCCCAAAGACTTAATTTAATGTTGTATAAGAAAGATTATTTCTGTTTTAGTTTAATTTCTCACCAACATTTGCATTTCTTAAAACAAACTTTAGAGTGTTTGGATTAATGACTTTTTCTGTAATCAATTTTACAGAAAGAATTTATGAATCAGTAAAGAAAAAAGATAGTGTTCTATCTTTTCTCTTGATGCTTAAATACTGATGCAGGAAATCATTTGCCTAGTCTCAATTTTATTTGATAGAACAAAAACCCCAAGCAATAAAACTAAGGTCCAAGAAAAACATTTAGCTTGAAAAAAAATTGAAAAATGTACCCTTGGAAAGACCACTGCTTACATGGGATTGTTCAACAAATTCCTGTTGTGTGAGGTTTGGCATATACTTTCTAAAAATATAAGCATCTGGGGAAACCAGACAAAGCCCAGGTCTTGGACCAAACGAGGCATGCAGCGTGAATCTGTTAGCGATTATATCCATAATGAAATATGTGCCCAAATTTAGCAGTACAAAACCCCCAATACAATGTGAAAACACAGCATGTACAGCCCTTACCATAAAATATAGCCAACAGCGAAGGTGCACACTGCAGCCAGTCCACAGCTCCTGCTGGGATACTGATGATGTGTTGTTCTCATCTCGATTAATACAAAGGGCAAAACTGTTGTGTGCTGGAAAAAAACCAAAACAATTGGGAAAATCAGGTGATACAAATGGTTCTCTATATTTTCATTTCAATTCTATAACAAGAAACTTAATTGCGGAAACCTGAAGACAATTCTTGATGGCTTGAAAGACAAGGTAAAGTAGCTATAAAACTGATCAATAACCCAACCAGTATCATCTCTGTAATGTCCAATTGTTTGAGAGAGCAGAGGAAAACTGAATGACCAGAACATGCTTTTGCTCAGGAATCCAAGGCAGATACTCAGTGAGTAAAAAGGAAATGTGTCATGAAGGAACCCAGGTCCCAACCCCAGTCTGGCCCTGCAGTTGCTCTGTGATCTCTGCCATGTCACTTCAGTTATTGTGACCATTCTAGTTGGAAGGCAACACATCTGGTTTTCAGAGACTAAGTACAAACAATGCCAAGTGAATGAATATAAATGGAGGTATTTAATGCTTCTGAGAATTAGGTTTAAATGTATCTTAATCTGGGGACTTGAAAACAGGGGACATATTTTCAAATGATAGCATCAATACCTCTGTTTCTCCATCTGTAAGACAGAAGCAATTACATTCAGAAAGGTGTTGTGAATCTTAATTTTTCAGTTGCACAAAACAGTTTCAGATTCCTAAATGAATCATATGAAAGGCAAAGCTGTAAAAACCATTTTCAGCCACTTGTCTTTATTTAGCTGTGAAACTCCTTATTTTGTTATTTTCCCATACACATTTCCTATACTGCCCCTTCTGAGAAGGCCTGTTCATCCAATTAATGTCAGCAGCATGAAAAACTGCATCCAGCCTGCCCCCAACACTCAATGTCTACATTTCAGAGTGCTGGCAAGCATGAAAATATACATAAGTAAAGAATAAACGTGCCAGGAAATAAACCCCATAATTTCTGAATATACAGCTCACTTTAGACCAGCATTAGTGGTGACTCCAGACACATACCATGCCTTGCCTCCATGGGGCCAAGTTTTTGCTGGCATCTAAAGGGAATTACTTCAATTGAGAGGTTAGCTCTAGGGTTTGGTAAGACTGACTGTGAACTCTTCTCCACAAGAAGGCCTGGAAGTGTAAGGATTGCAAGGGCAGCCTAAGTCCTAATGCAAGTTCAGTCCTTCCCCAGGTACTTCATCACCAACTGGAAAGGAAAGTTATGGCATACACTGGCCACATTCTGCCATCATGTAGTTCTGGGGGATGCTGGAGGTCAGATTTCTAAGTTTGCAATAATCACAATGTAAACCCAGACTGATATTCACCTGTGTGCAGACAGGAGAGGCATGGAGTAGAAATATCTTTGTGTGGATTACAGGTTCATCTGAGAAGCAACACAGTGGGGTCTAAGCCCTTAAAAACTGCAAAGAAGAATGGTTTGAATGGAAAATGGTAAGATAATGGAAATGCTCCTGCTGAGAGATGTAACCTAATTGAATTGGATACCTGCTCTGATTTTCAAGGCATTGGTAATTAATGACTAGCATTTAGAGAATGTCAGGTAGATAATACAGCAGTTAGGGGAGCTTTCAATTTCTTCATCTTCTAACAACTTGTTCTACCCCGATCCCTTTAAACAGTATAAATCAGCATCAAGGGAATGCAGAGGTGTTTTATAGCAGTGCGGTCTGCTATAAAGGTGCCCACCATTAGATTAGAGGTCTATGAGCTGCAGAGGACCTTCAGAATCCATGATCAGGGACTGACAGCAAAGCAAGCCCTGGAGATTCACCTGCACATCTTGTGTCTGTATGGAAAAGGTCTCCAGGAAAAGAGAGATCAGTGCCTCACTCTGCAGAGCCCCCAAAGCAGAGCAGCTGGAGGCTGTGCAGATGTCTCCTGCCCTGCCCCCATAACTTATTCAGAGAAAAAAACAGAAGAAAAAAACAACTATTAATACCAAACTCCACCCTTGATACTCCTTGTACAATGTATTCTTGTAATCCAGTCACTTAGTTTTAACTCTGTACTTTTCGGATGATTGTTACAGAGCTTGTGAGCTCAGTTGCTCCATGTAAATGTTTACTGCTTTTGATACTGCTTGTTGATGAGTTCTTCATTGATGATAACAACTCAACAGCTTGCCAATTAAAAAGTAGTTAAAATAATTTCAGCAATCAAGCCTTAATCTCAAATAATTTTCTCCTTTCCCTCTTCCCAATTCTTGTGGTTATATAATAAAATAGATTATTATTTTCCTAAATTCTCACTTCTGCTCTTTTCTAAAGGTAAGAAAAGAGCAGAAGGAAAAGCAGATAATGAGCTGTGCCACTAAAAAGTTTGTGTACAAAATCCCGTTAAAAGTACAGTGGAATTAGAAGTCTAAGGAGAAAATCAGATATGTAACTTTAATCTCAGTCTGTTAGAGCGAATGTCAATGCTACATGCAAACACTGCAGTTTTACAAATTTGGAGTATGAACTTTGGTTTGAAATGCTTTTGTGAAAGTGCCACTCTAAAATGCTGCTTCAGATCCTTTACCAAACCACAACCAAGATAAAATTTCCTTTCTCTACATTTCAGCTCCTCCAAAAACCTTGATTTAAAAAACATGAAATTCTGTAGTCTGGGGTGCCTTCTATCCAACAGTGTCAATAAAAATCTATACTGAAGCATAGTGGAGATGGTCAGGGGTCAAATGTGCTTGCAGTGGGATCTGTCAGGGCTGGGTATTCTGCAGGGGGCCTAAGATTTCATATCCTCTAATGTTTTTGCCACCTGAATTCTGAATAAATAGGCCAGTGGGAATCTGAGGCTTAGAGAGAAAATAGCATTGATATTTCCCTGACCTGCCTAAAGATCACGCTGTGCCGATCAAACATACCTGACTGGTACCTCTGGGACTGATCCCTTTTACCGACTGGCACGCGGGGGGACAAAACCACATTTCTCACCTTGTTTGCCAAAGTATCTCCTGGGGCTTGCTTACTTCAGAGAAGACTGAGGAATGAGGAAGTTCAAACAACAAGGAGATTTAAACAGTAAGGATGATTAGCTGCTCTAACAGCTTTCCAGTAGCTGCCATTTTGCACCATTAAAAGTTTTTACGAAAAGAACAAATATATAATTAGAGTATAATGACTAGTATAATATTACAATAGTAGTAAACTATGCTAGCAATATTAATTAATGTTATATTGATAAGGTTTTTTAATATGGACTAAGTAGTTACAAGTAGAACTGTATTTTTACCTGGACATCCTATTCTTCTCCCACTGAGACCAGGTGCCCCTGTGAGATGGTTTTGCCTGTATGACTGTGCTGACACAAGAGACTTGTGCTGAGCACTGTTGTGGCAACACCAGGGAGCATCATTCCCACTGTCCCAGGAAGGCAACCCTTTCTGTACCTGTTGTCTGTGGTGACTGCAGGCTCAGGGTAGTCACCAGCCCCCAGCACGGCCCAGGCAGCAGTGGGGGAGATATCAAACCATGTAGCATTAGCAGGACTTGCTAGACTGAGCTTTTTCAGGGCTAGTAACTGCATCTACTTGCAAGAAAATGCACCCTGTCAACTTCTCCAGTTGTGACTGTGGTGCTGTCTGCAAGGTGTCCTCACAGCCACAAATCCTTTTTTCCTCTGGAGCGCCTAGACAGCAACCTCAGACCCATTATTTACTCCTCTCTGAAGGGTAAATAATCTCTCATATGCCAAGACCACTTTGTGGGCTGAAGGGTTGACCATAAGCCCCCTTTACCCAGCCACAGCATTGCTCTGCTCAGACCCCTCACTGCCGGCCCCTGCTGCTGAAAAGCCAGCTCTGATAAATCTTTTTGCTAGGAAGTGCTGCTCTGAGCAGAGTAGAAAGCTTCAACTTCTTCTTATTCTGTGTCTACCACATGGCATTGCTTCCGAAGGACCCACCACCAACAAGCGGTGAAGAAATACAGTTGCCAAATCTCCAACTGCTAGAAAACAGAGAAACCAGCACAATGCACAGAGCCTGAATGAAATGTGCAGGAAGATTATCATATGGAGAATCTGACCCACAAGACACTCTGGAGACTAACTCCAAAGAAGCAACCTCTGAGTGAAGCTGAATTAGCACACACTATAAAGCAAGCCATCCTAGGATCTTGCAGGTGGATTAATTTCTAGAGCCACTAGTCACAGTGTCCTGAGAGAAACTCTGCTCATTAATAACTCTTTAAAAGATATTATGAAAATATGTATCACCCCCCACATGGTATATAGGTGCCTAATGAAATTTGAGACCAGGAAATCACATTACAAATATGCTCCACAGCTGAAGTGCTGGCTTGGGAAACTGAGCTTTGATGGAGGACTGTGCTTCCCCGTTGTAGGTGTGTTCTGCAACAGTCACTTGGAAAAAAATTTATGCAAATTAGGTACATTAACAATGAGTTCTGTAATAGTCTTTAGGCAATTAAGTGCTCATTCATGAAAGTCTGATTATATATTTTATCTTTCAACCAGTAAGTGCTGCTTTTTTTAACACTGGTTTCAACAGTACCTTACTTGGCCTTCTCTCCCTTCTTTAACTGTGTTTTAAATAGAATCTTAAAACTTTTCAAAAGATGCTAAATTGACTGCTTTATGTATTGTATCCTCAGGGTAGTGATGTCTTCCCAAGTCAAACTCCTGATCTGCACTGACTGTCCAGAACTACCTTTATGACAAGAAGCTCAGTCTACAGAGGCATCTCAGATGCCCAGGGTAGCTCACAGAAGTTCTGTAGGAATTGTTAAACTGAGGGTCACAAAAGTTGTGATTATAATTCACTTCAACAAACAGACTGTGATTGATTACTCAGTTTAACCAGACTGAAAACTACAAGGCATAGGACATTTCAGCACAGCAAAATACCGTGCACCTCTGAGGTCTCCATCATGACATTCAGCCCATGTTCTTAAGAATCAGCAAAAGTCCAGTGAAAAGAAAGGAGGCCTTGCAGTTTTGATGTCCACCAACATTTTAACTGATGGACTGGGAGCCTCCTGGGAGTGCTGGTGTGTCCTGCAACAAGGAGGCTGCAGAACTT